TAACAGGTGTACAGTTAACACTCAGCTCTGGCCGTAAGTAGCCACAGGGTGCTAGCAGCTCCCTAGACTTCACCCCAATCTAGGCTGGAGAGTTATAGAAGGCACCCACTCAGGGCAGGCTTCATGGGACCAGTGACCACACGGGGTCCCACATTCAGAAGGGCCCTGTGCTTGGGGTTTAATGCTTTGTTATAGTTGTCTTGAAATTCTTAATAGTTTCATCTTTGAATTTGCACTTTGTAACCTGATGCAACAATGGAACATATCCTGGGCACTTGGATCCTGGCTTCTGTAGGATCCCACCTCCCATAGCCTCCCTGCTCTCCAAGGCCCACTCTTCCACCCCCATCCCATGTGGCTTCCTTCCTGTTCCCACCCAGTTCCTGCTGCCACCTTCTGGCCCACACAGGGCCTGGGCATGGGCAGGATCAGGTGTGGGCAACCCACAGTGTCTCATTGCAGGGCGTGGAGGCAGCCGTCCCCATCCAGGGCTCACAGCATCATGTGCAATTTGGCAAGTGACTGGGGTGCCTTGATAGGAGTCTCTTGCCCACCTCCCCTGGCATCAAGGTATCTGCATGTCACTGCGCAGAGTTTGTAATCTCCTGTGGGTTGGGGTGGGCAGGAGAAATGTCTGGCTAAGTTTTTGTGTTCCTGGCTGGGCTGTGGTACATTGGTCAGGTGGCTGGAGGGAAAGGAACGCCAATAGCCAGTGGCCACAGACACACATTCACACGCACACTGAATTTGGGGGCTCCTGGGTGACTGTGAGAGTCTGCATTCACCCTGTGAGTATCCCTGTGCCCAGGGGAATGCAACATTAAACAGCAACAGAAAGTACCAGGCCAGGCAGGGCGAGAGGGTCGGTGGGGGAGTCGTCAGCATCTCTCTCCCCCGCGCCAGCTCCAGTACACAGAGCTGCATTCGTTGGCCCTCCCACCCTCTCCCTTGCCCCGCTCCTGACCCCACCCCCGGCCCCCTGGGGGGCGGGGATCCATCCCAAATCACTTGAACCCGAGGGAGGTTTCCTCACACCCTCAGGAAGACGAACATTCGATTTCCTCTTCTCTGTCTTCCACTCAATCTCCCTCTTCCACTCTCTTCTCCCAGAGTGCATGTCTCTTTAAGGCGAGGGCACCTTCTCTGGGTCAGACCACCGTCCCCTCCCCTGCTTCCATTCTCCTCCCCGCACTGAGTGCATGTTCCTTTAAGGCCAGGGCGCCTCTCCCGGCAGACCACCGTCCCCTCCCCTGATCCCACCCCCTTCTCCGGGCACCCAGTGCTTGTCCGTGCATGTTCCTTTAAAGCGGGGCGCCTTCTCCAGGTCAGACCACCGTCCCCTCCCCTGCTCGCATCCCCTTCTCCCGGCGGCGCTGAGTGCATGTCCATGTCTGTCCCTTTAAGGCGACGGCGCCTTCTCCCGGTCAGACCACCGTCCCCTCCTCTGCTTCCACTCTCTTCTCCCGCACCGAATGCCAGTCCCTTTAAGGTGAGGGCGAATGCATGTTCCTTTAAGGCGAGGGCGCCTTCTCCCGGTCAGACCACCGTCTGCTCCCCTGCTCCCATCCCCTTCCCCCGGCGCGCCTCCGAGGGCAGGTTCCTTTAAGGCGATGGCGCCTTCTCTGGGCCAGACTACCGGCAGCGGGGATGGCGGCGACGACCCCGGGAGCATGGCGGACATCGACCTGTTTCTGGAATGCGAGGAGGAGGAGCTGGAGCCGAAGGACAAGTTTGTAGAATGCGAGGAGGAGGAGCTAGCGCCGTGGCAGAAAAGCGGTGATGTCAGTGAGGACTCCATGGTCGAAGATGATCACTCGGTGGGTGAAACCACTGCGGCTCCTGAGAGCCAGCAGCCAGCCCCAGGGGCTCCCGCGCCCACCGCTGTCCATGCCTCTGCTGCCGGGCACCTCCCCGCACCCACCGCGGCCGGCCACCTCCCTGCACCCACAGCGGCCGGCCACCTCCCTGCACCCACCCCGGCCGGGCACCTCCCTGCACCCACCGCGGCCGGCCACCTCCCTGCACCCACCCCGGCCGGCCACCTCCCTGCACCCACCCCGGCCGGCCACCTCCCTGCACCCACCCCGGCCGGGCACCTCCCTGCACCCACCGCGGCCTGGCACCTCCCTGCACCCACCCCGGCCGGCCACCTCCCTGAACCCACCCCGGCCGGCCACCTCCCTGCACCCACCGCGGCCGGCCACCTCCCTGCACCCACCCCGGCCGGCCACCTCCCTGCACCCACCGCGGCCGGGCACCTCGCTGCACTCACCCCGGCCGGCAGCAGCGGCTGGGCATCGGACAGCCACTGTGCAGAGCGGACTCTAGTCACACTCCCTGCCAGCGATGCCCAGAGAGGCCGGGGTCCCGGGCAGAGCCTGTCAGAGGAACAGCTATGGGCACAACGCGCCGCTGCGGCCGAAAGAAAGCAGCACCGTCGGCAGAACCTGTCCGAGGACCAGCTGCTGGCCCTGCGCACCGCCGAGGCCCAGCGGAGCCGGCGGCGGAGACAGGCCATCTCCGAGGAGCAGCGCCTGGCGCAGCGCATCTCCGCGGCCGAGAGGAAGCAGCGCCGGCGGCAGAACATGTCCGAGGAGCAACTCCTGGCGGAACGCATCTCGGAGGCCAGGAGAAAGCAGCACCGTCGACGGACCATGTCCGAGGAACAGCTGCTGGCGCTGCGCACCGCCGAGGCCGAGCGGAGCCGGCGGCGGAGACAGAACATGTCGGAGGAGCAGCGCCTGGCGCAGCGCATCTCCGCGGCCGAGAGGAAGCTGCGGCGCCAGCAGAACATGACGGAGGAGCAGCGGCTGGCGGAGCGCATCTCGGACGCCGTGAGGAAGCAGCGCCGCCGGCAGAGCATGTCGGCGGAAGAGCTGCTGGCACAGCGCACCTGCGAGGCCGAGAGGAGCCGGCGGCGCCGCCAGAACATGTCCGAGGAGCAGCGCCTGGCCCAGCGCATCGCTGCGGCCGAGAGGAAGCAGCGCCGCCAGCAGAGCATGTCCGAGGAGCAGCGGCTGGCACAGCGGGCCTTGGAGGCCGAGAGAAGCCGGCGGCGTCGACAGAGCATGTTTGAGGAACAGCGACTGGCGCAGTGTGCTGGAATGGGGATGTCTAGGGGTGAAAAGGACATGTTTAAGGACATCTTAGAGATCCTAGCCATGAAGGGGGCCGTGGAAGAAGCACAGGGCTGGAAAGCTGCCACAGGCACATGTCCATAGAATGAGGGAGCTGGAAACAGCAGAAGGTCTATATGTACACGATAAAGGTAAGGAAACCCCTCCTTCAAAGGAAGAAGAAGAAGGAAGCCCAAAGGGAATAGGAAAACCTCACCTTTGAACTATGGAGTTACTATAGTAACTAGTCTGAGGACATCATGACCAATCAGAAGAGATATCAAGGCACTGGGACTTTCAGCCTTTATAAACGGTGGAAACAGGAAGTCGGCGGGACTTTTTCCCCTCCCCATGTTGGGAGTCCCTTCTGTGGGACATTTCCCCTTCTCCCCCCTACAGGTGGGAGTCTGTGCTGTGAGATTCTTTCCCCTTCCCTATGTGGGAATCTGTACTTGTTCTTCAATAAATTTCCACCTTTGCTATTAAAAAAAAAAGAAAAGAAAAAAAAAAAAGTACCAGGCTAGGGCAAGACAGAGACCACAGAAGATAAGAAAAATCTTTAATCTTAACTAGAGGCCCGGTGCCTGCACTTTCTCCAATCTGGGAACCCTACAATCTAGGGCCCTAGGGGGGGGGGGTGTCCGACTGCCAGTTTAGGCCCGATCCCACAGGATCAAGCAGTCAGACATCCTTCTCACAATCTGGGACTGCTGGCTCCCAACCACTTGCCTGTCTGCCAGCCTGATCACCCCTAACCACTTCCCAACCAGTTTGATGCCTAACTGCTCCCCTGCCAGCCTGATTGCCCCCAACTACCCTCCCGTGCTGGCCCAGTAACCTCCAACTGCCCTCCTTTGCAGGCTTGGTTGCCCCCAACTGGCCCGGTCACACCTAACTGCCCTCCCCTGCCAACCTGGTCACCCCAACTGAATGCCTGGGTTCCCCCCCTATTTCCCTCCCCTGCTGGCCTGGTCACCCCTAACTGCCCTCCCCTGCTGGCCTGATTGCCCACAGCTACCCTTCCCTGACAGCCATCTTGTGGCGGCCATCTTTGACCATATGGGGTGGCCATCTTGTGTGAGGGTCAATTTGCATATTACCTCTTTATTATATAAATATACTAAATGGCATTCCCCCCTCCCCCATTTTTTGAACTGGGGGCCCTGAGTTTTCATTTTGCACAGTACATTATGTAGCTGGCCCCGCTCCCACCCTTCACTGCCCTTCCTGGAGTCCCTTTCACTGCCTCCCCCACATCTTGGCTCAGGGAGAAGATAATATCTAATACCAGCTTACATTTATTGAGCAACTACTATGGGCCAGGCACCATTTGAAGCCCTTATCTGTATGAACTTCTTTAATTCTCATAACAATCCTATAAAGTATTATTACTATGTACATTTGTGGATGAGAAAACATTGAATTGTGGAAAGAACATTGAATTGAGAGTCTACGAGCCAGAGTTAATTTTAACTCCACTGCTGACCTACTGACATGAGACAGGCCTATAAAACTCAATTTGTCTATAAGATGGGGGAGAAAATTATCAGCCTTGTAGTATACCAATCACATCCCATGAGAGAATGGATGTATGCTTGCCTTGTAAACTGCACTCAAAGGGACTCTTATCATTCTTTTCATCCTCACCCAGCAACTGTGGCAGCCCCCTAAGACCGCATGATAAACCCCCTCACTTTATAGAGGAGTAAACTGGCTCCACCTTCTCCTAAGTTCTGCTTTCTAAGCTTCTGCTCCTCTTCACTGTGCCCTTGGTCCATCTTGGAGGGGGAAATAAAGAGAACAGGATTGAGGCGGAAGCAAATGCTTGTGAAATAAATGCTGTGTGTAAATGATTGGTCGGAGATGGTTCCATTTCTGTTTCAGGCAACAGGCCACTGGTGCTGAATTTTGGAAGTTGTACCTGACCTTCATTCCTTTTCAAATTTGACCAATTCAAGAGACTTGCTGAAGACTTTAGCGCCATAGCAGATTTTCTCGTCATTTACATTGAAGAAGCACATGCATCAGGTACACAAAGATTCCCTGCCTCTACCTCCTCCTGCCCTCTCTTTATTGGCTCACCTTCCACCAAGATTGGGGGTGAAGAGAGGTGTAGGAGGCGAGGGAAAGAGTTTACCCACCATCCCCCAGTCCCTGCTAGGTTTACCCACCACTTGCTAACTTCAGTCTGTGCTTTCGGCTAGGCACACAGAGCAGAATACCTGGAGTGACAGGGTCTAGCTGGGGGAGCGCCTAATATTCTGAATGGATAAGTACGGAAATCAAGAGAGAGGAGCTAGCCCTAGCTGGTTTGGCTCAGTGGATAGAACATCGGAGTGTGACTGAGGGTTCCCAGGTTCGATTCTGGTCAAGGGCATGTGCCTTGGTTGTGGGCACATCCCCAGATGGGTTGCAGGGGGCAGAGGGGATGCAGGGGGCAGCTGGTCAATGTTTCTCTCTCATCAATGTTTCAAACTCTATCCCTCTCCCTTCCTCTCTGTAAAAAAATCAATAAAATACGAGAGAGAGAGAGAGAGAGAGAGAGAGAGAGAGAGAGAGAGAGAGAGAGAGAGAGAGAGAGAGGCTAATATAAGCACAATTACAAGGAATTTAGAGCTGAAATGTCACAAGTGAAATGACTGCCATTTAGCTACTAGTACGTGTGAAATCCATCCTAAGCCCTTCAGATTTCAAAGGGACATCGTGGTTCATCTCTGTCACGGTTCCCAAGCTTTAGTGACCATCAGGAGCGCCCGGGAGGCTTGTTAAAACAGCCTACTGGACAGAGTCCGAGTCAGACCCCCGTGGGGCCTCAGAATGTGCATTTCTAACAAGCTCTGGGCGATGCTGAAGTTAGTAGTCAGACACACTTCTACCTTTCCTGCTTTTTGTGGGGATCAAATCCATGAACTTAGCCCAACTCTCAAACCCAGAGACTGAAGAAGGCAAGAGGCTTGGGTGGCCATGTGGAATGAGTGTCATCTATTCACCTTTCTCCCCACAATATTTGTTTTTGTCAGCCAGCACCAGGCAGACACCATGTCCCAGAGCTAGAACCCAGTAAAAGGTGGGTGAATGAGGGAAGTGAGGGTTTTAGGCTAGTATTGGCCTTGCTGGCTCCTCTACGTGTTGTAAGTGTAGAGATTGCTATTGGTTAATTTTCAGCAAAGTTGATCCAGCAGTGCTTTCTCCAGTGCAGTCCCAGGATCCCTAGTGTCAGTGCCATCTGTGTTGCTTGTTGAAAATTCATGTTCCTGGGCCCTACCCCAGGCCCATTGCATCTTGATTTATATGTACCCAAATGTTTGAACATTGCTTTCAACTTATTCATTTAACTGGCAGCCCCTGTCCTCATTAAGACTTTGCGGAAACTTAAAATATTAGCGAAGGGTAATAGGTACATAGAGGTATTTCTATATTCTTCTCTCTGCTTTTATGTATATTTAAAAATGTCCATAATAAAATTGAAACAGTAAAAGAGACTGTGGGTGCCCACAGGTGTCTGTGGTCTTTACAGCTGAATAGAGATGCTGCTTTGGTGTCATCACAGCTGACAGCTGAAGCTTGGCCCAGGCTGATTTAACTGTCTTGGGCCCGCACTTCTCAAACTTTAATGTTTACACTTAAACCACCTGGGATCTCACTAAGATGCAGATTCCAGCTGAGCCACAAGGCATGGCCTCCCCTGGTGATCATGAGACTGCTGGTTCTGGGACCACACTTGGAGTAGCAAGGTCCTAGAGCAGTGGTTGGCCAACTCATTAGTCAACAGAGCCAAATATCAACAGTTCAACGACTGAAATTTCTTTTGAGAGCCAAAAAAGGACTTTTGCGGATGGGCCACGAAGTTTCAATTGCACTGTACGTGCATGCCTGCACGTGGTATTTTGTGGAAGAGCCACACTCAAGGGGCCAAAGAGCCACATGTGGCTCGAGAGCCGCAGTTTGCTGACCACAGTCCAGCTTTTTTTTTTTTAAGTCTTTTAAAATTTTATTTTATTATTATTATTATTTTTTTTTATTTCAGAGAGGAAGGGAAAGGGATGGAGAGACAAAAACATCAGTGAGAGAGAATCATTGATCGGCTGCCTCTTGCATGCCCCCCATTGGGGGCTGGGGGAATCAAGCCTGCAACTGGGGCATGTGCCCTTGGCCGAAATCGAACTTGGGACCCTTCAGTCCAAAGGCTGACACTCTATCCACTGAGCCAAATCAGCTAGGGCTCCAACTTTAATCTCTAAAAAATAAGTTGCAAACTGGGACAAGGGGGGTCAAACCATCACAGAAATTGTTTCTGGTCCTGATATCTGCCTTTTCACCCATTTCTCCTCGAGTCAGACCCAGCTGGTTTAACCCTTCCCACAGCCCAGGGTGCCTACCTCATCCACTGAGGAAAAGCTTCCTGTCCCTATCCTGACACAGACCTGACCTCTTTCCTCTGTGCTCTGGCACTCCTGGTTGGGGCATTTCTTTCTCCTTCCCCAGGGTACTTGTTTCTGTCACTCAGACAGAAGTGGGTATGGCCTGAACCCCACAACTGAAGTACACAGAGCCAGTGTCCTCAGATCCCAGGATGTCTGGGATCTGTGGCCTAAAACAATCAGTTTCCTTTTTCACAGATATCACGTTTGTCCAGGTAAATTATGGGAAAGTAGGAGATGTGGTGAGAGGAGCAGACTGGAGTTTCAGGCCTAAACCTGAGTCCTGGCTGCATTGCATGCTGGCCACACAGCCTGGGCCAATGTACCTTCCATGCCAGCTTCTGTGCCACTAAAATGGGATGACAACACTGATCCCACAGAACCACTCAGTCAGCAATATTTAACATGTGCCTGTAGGTGCCCAGCCCTGTGGTGGCCTGGGGCTAGAGAGATGAAAGATGCACACAGTTCTTGCCCCTAAGGAACTCACAGTTGAAGTTGGGATGCGAGTCAGCGCTCCTGTCTGGGCCCCCATGTTCTCAGCGGCAGGATGGGGGTGAGCAGCTCTGTTTGGCCTCCCCAGGAGGTTGCTGTGAAGTTCCAGGGACTAATTGCCCAAACGTGGTGCTGTTGTCATCTACAAAGTTTTGATGTCGTGGGGCAGGTAATAAATACTGTAAATACTGGTTTTTCTTGGGGGAAGGGCACTGAGCAGAGGACTTTGAAACACTAAGGAGGTGAAGCAAGTTCTGCTGATGGACTCAAGCAACTTATATTACCCTGGGAGGTAACTATTATTGTAAGCGCAGGCCATGTGGCTTCCAAAGGAACCCGTGACCACATTGTCTGCGTTCCAGGCTCCTCAGAAATGGGGCCACGTAGAAGGGGACATAGCAACTTTTCCATCTGGGGGCCCATTAGCTAATAAGTGCCACCTCCTGTGAGCAGGCAGAAGGGCACGCTGGCAAATGAGGTCAATTGAAAATCTCCTTCCATTTAAACGAAAGTAGCTTCAAATGGTTTGGTTTGGAAAGGGCTAGGGGAAACGTCTTCAGAGCAAAGTAGCAGAAAATCTGCAGCATATAATAAAAACTGGGTTCTCTCCTACCTTTCTGTTACTTGGGGCAGTCAGACAAAATAAACCAACATATTTTGAGCAGGTCCTAAGAAACAGGCTGAGTACTGGGTATTCCATTCATAGTTATCTGAGTTAAGCCTCACAGTCAGCTACTTAGTAGATTCTATTAATTAGTAGGTCCTATTAACTCATTTTACAGATAAGAAAACTGAGAACTTAGAGTTTTAGAAAACTTGCCCAAAATCACACGACTTAGTATGTCAGGGAAACTTTCCTGGAGATGATGTTAGAGCAATGGTTCTCAGCCAACGGGAATTTTGTCTTCCAGGGGTCATTTGGCAATATGTGAAGACATTTTTGGTTGTCACAATTGAAGGTGGTGGGGGGCAGTTGCAGTTCAAAATCCTACAACACATAGGATGGTCCCGTACCCCACTACACACACACACACACACACACACACACACACACACACACACCAAAAAATTATCTAGCCTGAAATGTCATTAGTGCCAACGTTGAGCAGCCCTGTGAAGAGTTGAGCCTTAAAAGGACAGGTAGGATTTCAAACATGGAAGAGATGGTAAGGAGAAAGGGCAGAGGGGTGTCAGCATCATTTGAGGAGTCCACTCTAGCTAGACGTGAAAGGACTAGCAGCCGTGACTGGAAATGTGGGTGGGGAGAGATGACAGGGATCATTAAATGCCATGCTAAGGAGTTGGGCTCATAATTGGTGTTTAATCAGAAAAAAAAAAAGACCAAATTTTGTGTTAGGAATCATTCTCAGAGATTTCTGGACGATAAGTTAGAAGGTAGTAAGACCAGGAGGTCATTGCCAGGCTAGTAGCTGTACTTGGCTCTAAGCTCACCTGAGTGGCTTGTTTTAAGGCTGTTAGAGAGCTAACACATCAGCTGCAGCAGCAGAAGCCACAGTATCCAAACAAGGAGAGAAAGTCCAGCCGGAGGCAGGAGCTGCAAAGAAAAAGGCAGAAGTGAGAGACAACTTGGGGGTGAGTGTGTCCAGGATCCCCCAAAATTACACTGGTTGGAGCAAAAGGCTGGAAGAAGACCAGAGAGATGGGCCAGGTCACTCAGGACCTGGTAGACCATACTGAGGAGCTTGGGGCTTATCCTGAAGGTGATAGGGAGCCACTGAAAGCTCTAAGCAGGAGAGTGACCTAGTTAGATTTGTTTTTTGCAAAGAACTCTGGCGGAGAATAAATAGAAGAGGAAAATTGTCCAGACTCTAGAGCAGTAGTTCTCAAATGGTGGCATGTGTTAGAATCATCTGGAAGACTGTTAAAAATGATGGTTGATGCATTCATTCTTGGTCAGTCTATGTTGGAGCCTGAGAATCTGCCCGGCTAACAAACTCCCAGGAGATGCTGATGCTACTGGTCTGGGCAGCTCACACGTAGACAAACAC